ACAGTCACACACACTTGTTCAAAGAATAAATGGTGTCAAAATAAAAATAATAAATCTTTCACAGCCAGGCCACGAGCCGAGGGTGCAGATAATAAAAAAAGCCAAAACAGACAATGCTCTCCCCATAAGCAGGGTGGCCGCTCAGCCCCCTGCAGCTCTGCTCCCGGACGGGCACCTCCGTCCCCACGGAGCAGAGCGGAGCGCCCCACCGTACCTCCTGTGGTGCCCGGGAGTCATTTCTCGGTTCTACCACAGGGGGGCGCGGGGCAGGAGCCGCATTATGTTTCCCCCCGCTTTCTCTCAGATGGAAAAGCTGGAGAGCAGCAGCAGCTCCACCGTGGGTGTTGCGCACAATTTCCCGGGGATACAGGCTTCAATTCGCCACTGTCCCTCCCCGCTTCTCTGGCGTAATACACTCACATGCACAGGGAGAATCAGCTCGAGTCTTACGGGAGGAAATTCTCTCTCTGTTAGACAAACGAGCGGTTTCTGTCGTATCTCCCGAACAGAGTCTGTCAGGGTTTTATTCCAGATACTTCCTCGTCCCCAAACGGGGGGGGGAGAGGAATCCGCCCTATTCTGGACCTGAGGGCCCTGAACAAATTCCTGCGGAAATACAAGTTCAGGATGCTGACACACATGCAGCACTGCTGCGTCTAGTAAGACCGAACGACTGGTTTTCGTCCGTGGATCTGAAAGACGCGTATTTCCACATTCCCATTTATCCCCCTCACAGACAATATCTCCGATTTGCCTTTCAAGGGGTGTGTTACGAATACCGTGTTCTACCATTCGGTCTGTCTCTCAGCCCGAGGGTTTTCATACGGTGCACAGAGGCCGCGGTAGCTCCGCTCAGACGCCGGGGGATACGTCTGGCCACGTATCTGGAGGACTGGCTCCTGTTAGCGCAGTCAGAACAGGAAGCCAGGGTTCACACACATATTGTCACAGCACACCTGATGGATTTGGGTTTTGTGATAAATATGGAGAAAAGCCACCTATCTCCAACGCAGGAGATATGCTTTCTGGGTTTATCCCTGCGCTCTGTTCCGTTCACAGCTCGCCTGTCGAAGGAAAGGGTGACGACTTTCAGAGCGTGCCTTGCAAATTTCCGTCTGCACAGGTCTGTCCAGTTCAGACTGTGCCTTCGGTTGCTGGGTCTGATGGCCTCAGCCATCCTCGTGATTCGCCTCAACCGCCTTCACATGCGGGACTTTCAGCGCTGGGTCGCTTCTCTCCGAATGGACCCCGTGCGTCATGGCGAACGGCGGATAACGGTCACAGCGGACTGTATAACAGCTCTGCGCTGTTGGCAAGCCCCGTCCTTCCTGACTCGAGGGGTGCCTATGGGCACTGTCTCGTCCAGGAAGGTGGTAACCACGGATGCCAGCCTATCAGGCTGGGGCGGCATTCACGAGGGCAGGTCTGTGAGGTGCCGCTGGAGCCAGGCTCTCCAGCGCCTTCACATAAACTATCTCGAACTTTCGGCGGTGTTTCTTTCTCTGAGACACTTCCTCCCATTCCTCTCGGGTCACCATGTCCTGGTGAGGACAGACAACACGACAACAGTGGCGTATATCAAACGCCAAGGGGGCCTGCGCTCCCGTATGTTGCACGATCTGGCGCGCGACCTGATTCTCTGGAGCAGTGCCCACTTTCTCTCCCTGAGGGCGACGCACGTCCCGGGAGACTTAAACACGGGTGCGGACCTGCTGTCCAGAGGCGCGCCGGTGTACGGGGAATGGACGCTGCACCCGCAGGTCGTGGAGCAGATATGGGCGCGCTACGGGCGCGCTCAGATAGATCTGTTTGCGTCCAGGGAAAATGCTCGATGCGAGCTGTTCTTCTCTCTGAGCACTCTGAATGCCACTCTGGGCATAGACGCACTAGCGCACGCTTGGCCGCACGAGCTGCTATACGCGTTTCCACCGCTGGCCCTGATACCCCCCACTCTCGCCAGAGTGAGAGCATTCAATCACAAGCTCATCCTGATAGCTCCGCACTGGCCAGCACAACACTGGCTGGCGGAGATATTCCAGATGCTGTGCGCCCAGCCTTGGGAGCTGCCGCTGCGCAGGGACCTGCTCTCGCAGGGCGCGGGGACAGTGTTCCACCCACACCCGGAGCGACTGCAGCTGTGGGCCTGGCTCGTGAGTGGCTTAATTTAACCACTGCCGGGCTCCCTCAGAGTGTAATTAATACTATCCAAAACGCCAGGGCTCCCTCCACTAGGAACCTATATGGCTCCAAGTGGGGACTGTTTGAGCGGTGGTGTCTTGAACGGGACTACATTCCCTTTCAGTGTTCTGTATCAACGATTCTGTTGTTTTTACAGGAACTGATTGATAAAGGAAAAGCCTTTTCCACGGTTAAGGTTTATCTAGCAGCTATAGCAGCATGCCATATAGGATTTGGGGACAAAACGGCGAGCCAACACCCTTTGGTTTGTCGGTTTATGAAGGGCGCCCGCAGGCTTCTCCCCGTCTCCAGACCTTTGCTGCCTCCGTGGGATTTGTCGGTGGTTCTGGAGGGGCTCAAGGGACCCCCATTTGAACCGTTGCTGGGGTCCAGTCTTAAACATCTGTCTCTCAAGACAGTGCTGTTACTGGCCCTGGCCTCTGCGAAGCGGGTCAGCGACATTCATGCGCTTTCTGTGAACCCTGCATGTACCCGGTTCGACCCGGAGTACACACGTATGGTTCTGAAGCCCAACCCGGCCTTTGTTCCTAAAGTGGTTGGTTCGTGTTCACCGATCGAGCTAGCGGCGTTCGCCGCCTCCCCAGGTGAACAGCGAGCGCACATGCTGTGCCCTGTTCGAGCCGTGCGCTCTTATATAGACAGGACGCAGAGCTTCAGGAGGAGTGATCAGCTCTTTGTCTCCTGGGCGGAGCCCCGTAAGGGGCAGCCGATCACAAAGCAACGCCTCGCCCACTGGATGGTGGAGGCTATAGCTTTGGCGTATGGAAGCAGGGGTCTGCAGCCCCCGGCGGGTCTGCCTGCACACTCTACCCGCGGGATGGCTGCATCCTGGGCTTTATTTCGGGGAGTGTCCGTTCAGGACATTTGTTCAGCGGCGAGTTGGTCCTCACCTCTGACTTTTGTCCGGTTCTACATGCTTGACCTGTCTGGACCGTGCGTGGCCAGTGCGGTCCTAGAGTCATAACTGACCTTGTGGACCTCCCCCCCTCGGCCGAGCGGTGCGCTTGTGCACTAAGAAAGTTGCAAGTACCCGGTTTGATCCCCCAATTTGGGTCCCTGAGCAAAAGACCCTTAACCCCACACTGCTCCCCAGGCACCACACAATGGCAGCCCACTACTCCCCAAAGGGGATGGGTTAGATGCAGAGAGTTCATTTCTCCACTGTCAGATCAATAAAGTTCAATTTCTGTCTTTTTTTTTATTATTTTTGTGTATCCAGTAGAGCCGAACTCTCTGTCTCCTTGAAATAATATCTGACTAAATGAAGAGCAGTTTTAAAGTCTAGCTGAAGACTAATCCCATTTCTAACATAGCGTATATATTGTGTTTTAAACTATTTCATTATATTTTAGCTAGGGCTGGGTATTTTCGGTAATTTTCGGTTCCGGTACCAATACCGATACCTTCACTTCGATACCGGTTCCTGAACGATACTTTTTTCGATACCAGTTTTATATTAATTCGAAGAAAAAGAAAATTACACAACATAAAAAAGTACAAATCTTGAGTTTTATTTTAAGCTCTGATTTTTTCCATTTACATTTTTTGTCTTACATAAAAAAAAAAAAAAAAAAAAAATCAGTGTCTAATATTCACTGTTACATTGTGAGGACCTTTTTACTTAGCAGTTTTCCTTTAGAAAAATTACCATGTCTGACAAACAAGCCCGTTGAATGAGCGGCTCCGACAGAAATATTGGAAGGCAGGATGAACTGACTGCACTGATTAAGTTTTCAGGTGGTTTTTCCCACTTAAAAACATAATAAAACTACTTTATTCCCACTGATCACAGCAAATATAGCTGCAAGGCAAATAAAGGATAGAGTAGCTCCGCCCAACGCGCGTCAGAGTCACTTTTCGACCGCGCAGCCAGAGCAGCAAAGCTGCTTCAGCCGTGCGTCAGAAGCTGGTACAAGCAGCAAAAAAGGAAGCAGCAGACGCGATTTTGCTGCTCCTGCTGCGTCCAGTTTGAAAGCAGCATTCTCCAAGAGTGTCTCGCATTATTCACTCCGCTCTGGCTTTGCACTGCCCACGGGCTGCTGAGAGGAGGATGGTCACGCTGGCTGCGGTCCGCTCTTCTTGCAGTCAAACACCGAGCAACTTTCTGATTTTTTCCGTGCACGATGTATTGCATTGCGCACTATTAGCATCAGTCTTAATAAAGTGAAGCCGCACTTTTGACCTGGGGGGCATTTTAAAGGGGTTCCGCGACGCTCACAACCAGTTCACAACAGATACACATGAACCCTGGCTGTAGGCGTGACCACCTGTGTATTTTTCCTGGATGACGCAATCACGTTAAGTGTTACAGCCAATCACCGAAACTTGGTACCGAAAGACGAGGCATGTTTCGATACTCTGTAGAACCGAAGCATTTCGGTCGGTACCATAAAAGAACCGAAGTTCGGTACCCAGCCCAAATTTTAGCAGCTTTCTGGTCATCATAAATGCAAGCATCAAACTAAATCTTCTGAAATATAACAGTTTTTTTTTTTCTCTTTTTTTTCTTTTCTTTTTTTTTTACCAATTTGTCTTAAAATATAAAACAAACTTTTATTGATTTCAAACTTTAGACCAAAAATGATTTAAACAGTTCTCAAGTTAAGCAGCAGCTAGTTTTATTTTTTATAAGATATTTGATTCCTGGCCTTTTATTACAACCTACAGAATGGTTTTTCTAATTTAAAATCTCTAAAAATATTATGTAAGTATTCCACCTAATTGACAGTTTGACTCTCTGCCCCATGAGTAAAAAATGAAAACCGATTTGTTTGGTTTCGCTGTGACTGTCGGTCACTTACCCCAAAGTTTGATGCAGCAAATCTTGCAGGAGCGGAGACATTTGTGGAGGCAGTGGGGTGGGCGTAGAAGGCATTGATGTTGGCCAGCAGGGTGCTCATCACTGCTGGCACTCCTGACAGCATGTATTTAGATGACAGGCAAGAAAAATGTCTGAAGGGGGGGAAAGGAGAAGAAGATTAAAATATGTAATCTTTTTTTCAAGGGCATTGATGAGGCTACTCTAAAAATACAGCTTTGGCCACCAGATAGGTTATAAGCCTCTTTTGGTTCATCTGGTCAAGAAGTAAGGACTTAACTGAAATAAACCAATAAAGAAAAGCAGAGTCTGTGTAATGGGTTGCTATGGGGATTTGTCTGCAAAGCATCCATCATGTATTAAAGAAAGTTTAAACCTCAAACATAAACTGTCTGTCCAAAATGAATGTCCAGTCTTAAAAAAGACTTAAGAAACCTGAGTGGCAAAAAACCTCTCAAGGCCACATTGGTCAGCTTAGGTTTGTTTAAGACAGGGGCGGGCAAACTGTGGCCCTGCAGCCATTTGAGGGCTGTGGAAATTTTATTTTTGTCCCCCAACCACATTTAAAAAACAGCACAAATTTTAACTTCCAATAAAGTTTAGCAACACTTTACAATAACCATTATAACATCATTTATAAATAGTAAATTGACAATTTATTAATGCTTTATAGATAGTTTATTAATGTTTGATTCATTTATAAACTGACGCTAAACCATTCACAAAAGGTACAGGCACATCAGTGGGCTTAATACCTTAATAAATTATCTATTTACCTTTTATAGATGGTTAAGATGCAGATTATAAATAACTCAGATATTAATAAAATATCTGTTAATTCTACTTTGTGTCTTGAACATATTGCATGTTGAAGTTATTGCTGTGCAAAGAAATAAAATGAAAAATAATTGAGCATTAAAACACGGAAGGAGAGGATGTGAAGTGACTTTAAAGGGTTTAATGGTTGTTGAGGCTAAACTACTGACCAACTAAGATTATTAGGCATCTTTAAGGCTACGTTCACACTGCAGGCCTTAATTCTGCAATTTCGCAACTGCATTTATACAACTTAAGTATCCTGCACGCACAGTAGAGGACGCATTGACGTCACAAGCAAGTGTGCTCTGTGTTCACGGAAGTAAACATGGATGGTAGTGCTGTAGCGCAGGCATCCCCAAACTCGGTCCTCAAGGCCCCGTGTTCTGCAGGTTCAGAACACGGTGGAGCAGGTTTGCTGGAGCAAGGAAACCTCTAAAACCTGCAGGACAGGGGGCCTTGAGGACCGAGTTTGGGGATGCCTGCTGTAGCGCATCTAGCGATCTTTCATTTCTTTCCCAACCTCAGCCAGTGCAAGGGTTGAAAATAAAGACTGCTATTCGCATCATTGTCCACCATGGTTGCTATTTTTCTTTCCACTTCTGCATAGCAAGACGTAGAATAGTGACCTTTATTGAGTATTAATGACGTTCAGGCTGGATAAATGCGACCTGACATGCATTTGAAAAGATCAGATCCTATCAGATTCATGACAACATAGCCAAGTGGCCTGGGTCACATTGGACATGTTATCGCGTGAAGTTACGTACACTCAAGTGAACTTCTGTTCTCGCGAGTTAAATCTCCGGACCTGTTGCCGGAGCCGCAGAGCCGCACCGCACTGTAGTGAAAAGGGCGGTGTGAGAGGGGGTAACCGCACCGGAGCCAGTGTGAGCAAGGGGTTACCTGCACTACCTCAGCCTGGAATATACTATTGCTGCTGTTTTTATTGCTTGTATTGTAATGTCTATACACTATATTTATCTTATCTTCTTTTACATGTTCAATATTAAATATTGAATGTTAACGTTAAATCACATATGTTCTTTGTACTGTATTTATTATTGACTAGGGTGACCATATTTTAATTTCGGAAAACCAAGACACCTTGGAGTGGGGGCGGGGGGTGGGGGGGGTGGTAGTACGGGTTTGGGATCTTTGTTCCCATGCACTCACTTAACATAGGCCTACGTAATCCTACAATAACATTATATTTACAGTTGATTTATTAAAAATGCTTTTCAGTAAAAGTCAACAGCAATAACTCCAATAACAAATGATAATTTTATTCAAAATGTATTCATTAAAAATGCTTAACAAATCCTGTAATGAATAAATAGCACAATGAAAGAAATAATGTCTCATCATCGGGATTTGCTCCGTGATCAGAGGAAATGTTACTTTGCGCCGAACAGTGGTGAAAATTGGAAGTTCAGTTTAATATAATAAAACTCTGTGAATAGTTCCGTCTGAAATGAATGAAAATAGTTGTTTTAATGGTTATAGAGGCAGATATGTGGCGGTAATGTTTTGTTTATCTAAAGCTTTTAATCTGTTACTGTGTAAATGGGTTTGGCTGTAATTTAAGGACAGATTCTAATAGATCTGCAGAGTGGGAACTATTTAATTTTTTTATTGCTGTTTTGCACAATATGCTTAAGTAAGTATTTTTTGTTGTTGAATATTAGAGATTTTGTAGATATATTTTGTTCATACATTGTTTAGATTTACTTATATATTTCTAACCCTTTTATAGAATAGAAAATCCCTTTATTGTTCCACAATGGGCAAATTTACAGCAGCAGAAAGATTATTAAAAATGGTCACACAAATGTGGACCTTAGAAAATGTATAAGAATAACATAATAGGGAAGAGTTAAAATATAAAAAATACAATTCTGTAAAGTGTTTTATCAATATAAAACTGGAGAATTAATAACCAATATGCAGCTATGGACATTTTTACAGTGATGGATATTTGAAAATAGCAGCAACATCAGAGATGTGCAGAATGACAGCAGCAGACAGTAATTTAACTGACTAAGGTTTCTATCATTACATTTGATTTTATTTGTTCCTGCTCCAGGTGGTTGGAATCTTTATTCCACTCTGGATTCTTGTGAGTGTAGTCTTTGTTCACTTTAACTTTAAAAAAAAAAATAAAATAAACAAACAGTTTTGAAAACCTCGGTATTCATTCTTTTCCTGCTTTGTGTGTCAACTTTCACGGTTGCTAAGCAACAGAGCATAACTGGAAAATAATCCAATAAAGATGTAGGACGTAATACTGTATGCTAGCATTAGCCCCAACTTTCCGACCTCCTTTCTTCTTTTTACTCGATGCAGCAGGCACAAAAAAATCATCTAGAGACATGTCGGCGGGTTGTTGTCTTAAATTGTAGATTTACTTCGACCCAGACAGGAGACAAAAAACACACGACTATTCCGCAGCGTGCATCACGTGGTCCCCAATATGCTTTATTTTATTATGACCTCAGCCAGCTAAACTAGCTTCATCAACACCAAAATCCGTCCCATGTGTTTACTTTCTACAATAATCCTTCCCCTGCTCTTTGAGTGCAATGGCTAAGTGTGTTTCACAAAGTTAGATTTCATAAGTTTGACCTGGATATTATGGGTGAACAACACTAAAGTGAATTAAGCTATCAGTTCTGAAAACTCACAGCTACTGTAATCTAATTCATTGAGGTTAAACTGAGTACTCCATCCTCAAAATAAACAAGTTACTCTAATCAATTTAAGATAATTTGAGAACTATAAACTTAAAATAATTAAGTTATAATCCAGTTATTTAAGATAATTTAAGTACTTCAGACTCCAAATAAACAAGTTACTATAATCTAATCATATAAGATAATTTGAGTACTGCAAACTCAAAATAAACAAGTTACTATAATCTAATCATATAAGATAATTTAAGTCCTGCAAACTCACAGTAATTAAATCAATCCAATGTAATTCATCTAAGTTGACTTTAATTACATTTTTTGAGGCAGAAAGTTTGCATATTTTTTTTAAGTAAGGTCAACTTATAAAACTTTACAGTGTAATTATTAGGTATAATACTGTGTGATTGTAGCTAATAAAGGTTCCATTGTATTTTAACCCAGTTTATCACGCAGGCTGGATTCCCTCTTCTTTCAGTAGCATCCAAATGAACAGAAACACATTTATTTAGTTGGTGGTTCATACATTTGCTAAGAGCCGTAGCCTAAATTACTAAATTGGTGAAAGATAACTGTATTTTTAACAGCCGGATACAGTAGTCCAAACTTCTTGGAAAGGGGCTAAAACCCTCGTAAGTAAGCAAATTACAGTTATAATCATTCAACTCATAATAAATAATGAGTTTTACCCTCGATTTGAATGGCCAATAATTAACTATAACTCCCAGTTCTATTTATTTTATATATTCATAATCTTCTGGAAAGCTGGCATAACATATTGATCTATATTGGTTGAAAAAATATTTTCAGCTCTAGTTTTAAACCGCTCTTAGTCTGGCCTGTCACCCAGAGACGCTAACATAGCCACTGGGATCATTCCAGCACTGAAACCCCTCCACCATGTTAAGGTGGCGGTTCAAGGAGGAATTGCTTCCTCATATGGGTGTCGTGCCTTGAACACCCTGCAGAGGAGCCAAGGAGGACTACATCACTTTGTTGGTGCTGAAACACCTCTAGCTTCTCCCAGAGGAACTAAATGAACTGTCTTAGTTTAGTTTATAATAAGGGATATTTGGATTCAGAAACCTCTCCAAGTCCTTAGACCCAAGGGGAGTTCAGAGAAGCCAATTAACATGTTTACCATTGTCAAACATGTCTTTTTTTTTACTATGTGGGGGAAGCCGGGGCACCCGGAGTGAACCCACGCATACACAGGAAGACATTTCCCCCCGTGCAGCCCTTGCTTTTTAAATTCAATTGAAAAAAGAATCCTATTTTTCTGAAACCCCCCACCACCACCCACCATTAAACCCCCATACCCCCCCGCCGCCCCGACTATCTTCCTAACCCCACGTGATGCAAGCCCACCACCACTGGTACTCTAAATCATCAGAGTCCGCGCTAATGGTCCATCCAGTCTGTTTTTTCCTCCTGCCATCTTTGTATAGGCGCTTATGTGATGGAGTAAGAGCTTTTTTAAATCGCCTCCACAATGAAACCTTTTTGATTGGGACCTCTAATTCTTCAGAACTACTGTCCTGCAATGGCAACTCATTTTCTGCCTCTGTATCTAATCCCTACGGTGGTTCGGGGATGATGATTGGTTGGTATGGGGAGATTCTCGGTAGTTT